TTCTGAAGCTGCTCCTCCCGTGACCCGACCCCAGATGAAGCGGAAGAAAATGGATGGATGGAAAGATATTGTTTCAGCTCGCTTCCTCTGTGATCCACAGATCTTGGTTGCACAGGATTCATCTGCCTGTGCACCACTTGATACTGGCCCAGATTCCCCTAGGCCTGGTGCCGGTAACAAATACAATCAAGTTTTCCCTTGAGCAAAGCTTACTGCAAGGTGTGCACAACAAAAACAGAAAAATTACAAATTGTTTTTAGTCTATTTTCTAGCGCAAATCTCTCAGTTCACCTCAGATAAGGTCAAATTGATTTACAAGTAAATTTGCAGTAAAATATATAAGCTGCTTGTTTTGAGTCAATTCCTTATTATTGATGAAAAAGTTAATGTTTCATTTGCTGATTATTTAAATTATAAAAGGGGAAAATATTTGGTTAGTCAAATGAAATGTCAATGGAACAAGAACTTTTCAAGTTTCTTTACAACGATGAGATGTTAAAGTTCCTCTTTATGCAGATGACAGCACAGATCGGTGTCTGTCCTGTGATTGGACAGATCGGTGTCTGTCCTGTGATTGGTGGCTTCCTGTCCAGCAGGAAGTTGTGAACAGAGTTTAAAAGCTGCTCCAGGACTGCAGACATTCACAGGAAGCTGGACCAGCAATGGCTCTGCTGAAGGTTCTGCTGCTGCTGCTGGTGCTGGGTGAGTCGGAAACTATGGAAACACTGGAGACACTGGGGACACTGGGGACACTGGAGACACGTCCACTGGTTCCAGGGAGGCTGCTGCTCTCTGTGACTCTCAAACTTCCCTCTGATTCTGTTTCAGACTGAAACTTCTTTGCATATAAACTGTGATGCTTTTCAATCTTTAACTGTTTATCCTCTTTCTGTTCCTGCAGCCATGTTTGCACCTGATTTCTGAGTAAAGTCCTCCTTCCTCTTCTTCAGGTGTTTCAGTGAACTCAGATGTTTCTCGGCAGAAGAGAATCGTTGGAGGTCGAAACTGTGATGACAGGGAGCATGTTCATCATGTTCGACTGGAGAGCACCAATGGTGATGTAAAAATCCACTGTGGAGGAACTCTGATCCACCCTCAGTGGATCCTGACTGCAGCTCACTGCTGGAAGCCAGGAGGGTAGGAAACAGACTTGAAGACAGTTTTATCTGCAGATAAAAACTGTACATTATAATCTAACCTTTTCTACAGGTTTATCAATGCAACGTTAAAAGTTCATCCACGGACTGCTGGGCAGCAGCAACAACAAATCCAACAAACTCCTGTGATTTATAAGACCTTTAGACAGTTCCATGACATCATGTTGCTGAAGCTTGAGACCCCAGTAACAGATGTCCGACTTGCTCGGCTGCCAGACTGCAACAATCGTCTTAAAGAGTAAGTCTTTCTCTGATCAAAACTTGACTTCAGGTTTTCTCTCTCCACTCCTCCAGTCCTGCTGCCTCTGCTTCAGCACACCTGAGTCAGGTAATCAGGCCACCAGCAGAACCAGAACCTGTTTAGCTCAGGTGTGTTGGACCAGAGACACATGTAAAGGACGCAGGACACCGTCACTGAGGACTGGAGGTGGACACTCCTGTGTCAGTAGATGAAGTCCTTCATGGATTCATTTTCTGTTCTTTCATTGTTCTTCATAACAATTTTCTACATTGTTATATTTTTACATTTTATTCTTGTGTTTTAGAGGCGATACTGTTAAGCTGGCAGGAGAGGGAGCAACGACAACTGGCCACAAAAATCAGCTACGTGAGAGAAATATTGAAGTTATGAAAATAAAATCTTTGTCTGTCTCTAAAGAGAAGGTTGAGTGAAGAACATGTTTATGATTCTCATGTTTCTCTACAGTGAGAAATGCTCCTATTCCATCACATCTTCAGTGTCTCAAAATGAAAGTTCTTTCCTACTTTACGGGGTTATATGGGATTGTATTCTCTGCTGAAGCTCCTACCAAGTTTATATCCTATGTAAGTTTGTTTCATTATCTCTCCACAGCGATTTGAAGACTTTTCTGTTTTACAACATAAACAAATGTATTGATATGAATTTTTCTACAGCGTGACGTTGGTGGGGCAGCGATGCACAACGGCATGATTTATGGAGTGATTACTGATGGTGCACCACGCTATCCAAAGACTGGACCAGTGCCAATCATGGATGTGTGTAACTACCTGGGGTGGATAAAACAAACTACTATGAAATAAAATGATCAAATTTCCTCTATCATGTAATTTTATAATTGTATCTTCATCAGTTTGATCCACATGTTTGTAGAATTAGAATGAATTGACCTGATCTTCACCTCCCTAATGGAGTTTTCTCTTCACCTCAGAATGAAAAATAAATCAATAAATGCATGAAAAAGAAACATTTCCTGGCTCATTCATGGTTCAGTTTCTTCAATTGATATTTTCCCTGAACTGAGTCTAAAAACATGAGTTTTAAATAAGAGGAGCAACAGAAGTAATTCATTCAGTTTATTCAGTTTTTGTTTTTATTTTACATCAGAAATGAACATGAGCATCTAAACTTTGCAGCTCTGGAGTTTCTATTCCTGATTTAGTTCTAGAGAACTTTAAATTGCAACACGACCAGAGCTGTGCACCAAAATAATGAAATAGAAGTCACATAATTCAGCAATTAACAAGTAAAATCCTAATGTAAAAATAATAGAAAACCATCACATTTTTAATGATTTAAAGAAAACAAAGTTAAAAACATTTTAAAAGTTGAAATCTGGAAAAAAAAATCAGTTAAAATGTTTAAAAACAGGTTAAACTAATTATTGGTAGCTTCTAGTTGCCACAAACATGTCAGGAGTGGTGTGGTTGAGGTGGTGAGGAGATGACGCAATGAATTCATCATTAAATGATGAATTTAATGATGAAGCTCAACAGTCCAAAACAGGCTGCACGGCAGAGAAGTTAGCACACAGCTAAAGACCGGTAGCAACCGACACGAAGACTGAAACATTAGCTAAGCTAACCAGGACTAAACAGTACGACTGGAGAGCTAGGAGCTAAGCTAACCAGGACTAAACAGTACGACTNAAATGTCAATGGAACAAGAACTTTTCAAGTTTCTTTACAACGATGAGATGTTAAAGTTCCTCTTTATGCAGATGACAGCACAGATCGGTGTCTGTCCTGTGATTGGACAGATCGGTGTCTGTCCTGTGATTGGTGGCTTCCTGTCCAGCAGGAAGTTGTGAACAGAGTTTAAAAGCTGCTCCAGGACTGCAGACATTCACAGGAAGCTGGACCAGCAATGGCTCTGCTGAAGGTTCTGCTGCTGCTGCTGGTGCTGGGTGAGTCGGAAACTATGGAAACACTGGAGACACTGGGGACACTGGGGACACTGGAGACACGTCCACTGGTTCCAGGGAGGCTGCTGCTCTCTGTGACTCTCAAACTTCCCTCTGATTCTGTTTCAGACTGAAACTTCTTTGCATATAAACTGTGATGCTTTTCAATCTTTAACTGTTTATCCTCTTTCTGTTCCTGCAGCCATGTTTGCACCTGATTTCTGAGTAAAGTCCTCCTTCCTCTTCTTCAGGTGTTTCAGTGAACTCAGATGTTTCTCGGCAGAAGAGAATCGTTGGAGGTCGAAACTGTGATGACAGGGAGCATGTTCATCATGTTCGACTGGAGAGCACCAATGGTGATGTAAAAATCCACTGTGGAGGAACTCTGATCCACCCTCAGTGGATCCTGACTGCAGCTCACTGCTGGAAGCCAGGAGGGTAGGAAACAGACTTGAAGACAGTTTTATCTGCAGATAAAAACTGTACATTATAATCTAACCTTTTCTACAGGTTTATCAATGCAACGTTAAAAGTTCATCCACGGACTGCTGGGCAGCAGCAACAACAAATCCAACAAACTCCTGTGATTTATAAGACCTTTAGACAGTTCCATGACATCATGTTGCTGAAGCTTGAGACCCCAGTAACAGATGTCCGACTTGCTCGGCTGCCAGACTGCAACAATCGTCTTAAAGAGTAAGTCTTTCTCTGATCAAAACTTGACTTCAGGTTTTCTCTCTCCACTCCTCCAGTCCTGCTGCCTCTGCTTCAGCACACCTGAGTCAGGTAATCAGGCCACCAGCAGAACCAGAACCTGTTTAGCTCAGGTGTGTTGGACCAGAGACACATGTAAAGGACGCAGGACACCGTCACTGAGGACTGGAGGTGGACACTCCTGTGTCAGTAGATGAAGTCCTTCATGGATTCATTTTCTGTTCTTTCATTGTTCTTCATAACAATTTTCTACATTGTTATATTTTTACATTTTATTCTTGTGTTTTAGAGGCGATACTGTTAAGCTGGCAGGAGAGGGAGCAACGACAACTGGCCACAAAAATCAGCTACGTGAGAGAAATATTGAAGTTATGAAAATAAAATCTTTGTCTGTCTCTAAAGAGAAGGTTGAGTGAAGAACATGTTTATGATTCTCATGTTTCTCTACAGTGAGAAATGCTCCTATTCCATCACATCTTCAGTGTCTCAAAATGAAAGTTCTTTCCTACTTTACGGGGTTATATGGGATTGTATTCTCTGCTGAAGCTCCTACCAAGTTTATATCCTATGTAAGTTTGTTTCATTATCTCTCCACAGCGATTTGAAGACTTTTCTGTTTTACAACATAAACAAATGTATTGATATGAATTTTTCTACAGCGTGACGTTGGTGGGGCAGCGATGCACAACGGCATGATTTATGGAGTGATTACTGATGGTGCACCACGCTATCCAAAGACTGGACCAGTGCCAATCATGGATGTGTGTAACTACCTGGGGTGGATAAAACAAACTACTATGAAATAAAATGATCAAATTTCCTCTATCATGTAATTTTATAATTGTATCTTCATCAGTTTGATCCACATGTTTGTAGAATTAGAATGAATTGACCTGATCTTCACCTCCCTAATGGAGTTTTCTCTTCACCTCAGAATGAAAAATAAATCAATAAATGCATGAAAAAGAAACATTTCCTGGCTCATTCATGGTTCAGTTTCTTCAATTGATATTTTCCCTGAACTGAGTCTAAAAACATGAGTTTTAAATAAGAGGAGCAACAGAAGTAATTCATTCAGTTTATTCAGTTTTTGTTTTTATTTTACATCAGAAATGAACATGAGCATCTAAACTTTGCAGCTCTGGAGTTTCTATTCCTGATTTAGTTCTAGAGAACTTTAAATTGCAACACGACCAGAGCTGTGCACCAAAATAATGAAATAGAAGTCACATAATTCAGCAATTAACAAGTAAAATCCTAATGTAAAAATAATAGAAAACCATCACATTTTTAATGATTTAAAGAAAACAAAGTTAAAAACATTTTAAAAGTTGAAATCTGGAAAAAAAAATCAGTTAAAATGTTTAAAAACAGGTTAAACTAATTATTGGTAGCTTCTAGTTGCCACAAACATGTCAGGAGTGGTGTGGTTGAGGTGGTGAGGAGATGACGCAATGAATTCATCATTAAATGATGAATTTAATGATGAAGCTCAACAGTCCAAAACAGGCTGCACGGCAGAGAAGTTAGCACACAGCTAAAGACCGGTAGCAACCGACACGAAGACTGAAACATTAGCTAAGCTAACCAGGACTAAACAGTACGACTGGAGAGCTAGGAGCTAAGCTAACCAGGACTAAACAGTACGACTAGTGATGGGTCCAGCAACACCGACGCACCGGTGCATGTATCAAACCCACAGACCAACACCTGTGTCAGTAGGCGTATTGGTTTCAGCAAGTCACGTGACCAATACAGGAACTGTTTCGAAATGACACTGGATGCCAAACTGTGTTTATAAGGAAGCGAATCTGTCAAAAGCATTAGCCAAACAAATTCTTGATCTTTTATGGAGCAGCCTCAGACGAAAGGTTTCCACAGTGTGGGACCATTTTGATCTTATACTGGAAAATAAATTTGTTTTCATTTTTGTCGTTTCATCCGGTTCTTGTCAGTTTCTACTTGATATATCTGAATCCAAATTCAGCTGAAATTGACTCTTAATTTACTTTCATATTATGTTCTGCAGGTTAAGTATCGCATATGTTTGACGAAACTGTCTTATTTAAATAAATCCACCTTTTCAATGCTGAGGCAATTTGAGGACAGGCATGAGATCTGAAGTCTCAGATACACCTAGATAAACTCAAGGCTACAGCCATTCTACAAATTACAGTTGCTTTTTATAAATTATTTCACATACAGTGAACCCTCGCTGTAATGCGGTTCACTTTTCACGGTATCGCTGCTTCGCAGATTTTTTTGTGCAGTTTTTTTTCCTACAGTGTTGTTCGCCCTGCTTGACCGCTGGTTGATTGACCATATGATGGGTAAAAACAATCTTCGCGCTACCCGAGTGCCAATAACGTTACGGTGTTTAATACAGATTGGCCACTCAGGAGATGGAAACTGAAACTTTCAATGTCTGCTGGAAAAAAAAATTAAAAATTAAAAAATCTGTGGCCAGAGGCAGCAGAACCCGACCGGAGGCTCGCTTGACGAGCTCCATCGCTCTGCCATAGATCCAGCTGTGAATCTCTCGGGGCAGATTGGAGGAGACGCTTTAATGCTACGACTGCGGATCAGAT